GTTGTAACACGTCTATATGATGAAAATATAAATGAAGAAGATTTATTAATATTTAGTCACCTTGGATGTTAGAAGCGGCAGCCAATTCCAGTGCAAATATTGAGAGGCCAGGTTCAGTCACCCCGTTACAGTCAGTCGAGGCATACACACCAATAACGAAATACTCCATTCGATTCCAATAATGAAAGTCAGGAGGAAAAGAAAGGACCAATTCAACGTCGAGTGAGCCTGGTTCAGAGAGCCAATTGGATCCAATTTCAGAAGACATCTAATCCAGGTCCTATTACGGGCTTCTTACCTAGTATGAGACCTGACTTGGTCGGGCAACCCAATACGATCCAATTATGGGGCTTTGATTTCGTTTCAGGCTGTTCCGTTCTTTGTGCCGTTCCGGGAACGTCCTTCCTGTAAAAGGATCTCTTAAAGGTAAAAATGGAGGGGAGAAAGCGGGGATCGGCTATTCCAATTCGGAGAGTCCAAGGCAGAAGAATATGATCTTCTCAGGGTAAAAGGAGAAGGTAGGTTAAGAAATGTATTTTTTTTCGAGAATCGGGGTTTTAGGTCGGAGAGCTAGCTTCATGCTTTCAGAAAAAGACAGAGAATTGGGGTTTTTTTTTTATATATAGGGTTTTGGGGAGACTGAGAAGGGGATTACTGAAAGTCAATGTTATATTGGTGAACTGGATTTTTTTCGTAAGAGAAAAAAGGTTGGTACTCTTGATTATTGATGGAATAGGAGATACTTTTGTCATTGAAATTCAGAGTTGTCTAGAAGGTTGAGTATGCTGAATGCATGTGAGATTGTGTTAATCTGACTATACGGATAGAGGATATCTGCCAACAATTTAAAGAGGTATTGGGAGTTGGCAAATTGGGAATTATTTAGGATTTCTATGATAACTGGAGACCTACCGATAGGGATAAGAGGAATATCGGCGAGCGGCCAAGGGACATCAGTGCGGAGTACAGCATAGCCTCACAATCTGCAAACGGGATTGAACTGAAACTTCTTAAGCATTCGAAAGGGCTTGTAGAAACACTAGCTATAGATATTTCACAACAAGTCGGAAGGACAGATTGAGGATCGTAGCTTTTCAAAGTTCACGGTCTAGGATTAAGATAATTAACGATAAAAATAAAATAAAAAACATAAAATAAATAAAATAAAATAAAAATAACAAAAGAGATTGAAGTTATATAGGATCTCTAGGCGTTTTATATTGGAATTAAGCTTTTACATTGCAATCCAATATAGATTGTATTTGGGTAGTCAAGAACCCAATAGACTGCTTGAGTACTAGCGAAACACCATACTACCTCCTACAGCCAGATACCCGATACGTTTTCAAGCAAGATAGCATATAATACGACATATGTGGTGAACCCGACGTGAAAGCTTGAGGTGAAAGGTATTGGATTTCATTTGATTTTATTTTATTTTTATGGAAAATGAAAATAAAAAATTTGAAGGATCTTTGGGAAGAGTTTCTGGTGGGGGTTCTTCTAAAGGACAAGGTTTGCACATGGATCCGTCTATTGCTAGTATGTTTTAAGCCTTCTCATTATCAATGCAGCAATAGCAAAGCAATGATCGAAAAAAAGCTTTTGCAACCAAAGCTTTTGTAACCAAAGTGGATAATAATCAAGAGTTTGAGGTGGAAGAAGTCTTAGATCTAAGATGGCTTTGAAATAGGTTAAAATATCTTGTTTATTAGGCATAGATATAATATCAATGAATGCATATGGAAGCCAACAAAAACTCTTACAAATATAGCAAAGAAAGTTGAGGTTTTTTATTAAAGACATCTATCAAAACCAAGATGAAGAATAATAAATCTTATTATAAAAGAAACAAGATACAAGAAACAAGTTTAGTATAAAAGAAACAACATATAGAGAAGATAATATTCTACTTTTTATCATTGTGTGTAGTTTTTGCATATTTGTGGAACTAAGGAGATAAAAAACTAATAACAAGCTAATTCAACTCAAAATCTATCATTTGTTGATTTATTATATTAGACATTATAATTATAACAACCTTTAAGATAATATAATCAAGATGAAGATTCTTAAGAATGATATCTTTTTCTTGAAATAGGTAGCGAGATACAATGTATTTGCTATCATGACCTTAGAAGAAACTTCTAATGTTTGGTGATTTTATTAGAAGTAGGAACAATTCTTGACGATGTTTCAAATGTTTTATTTGAAAAGAGTTATAAAGACCTTGATAATAATTAAATAATAAGGTAGAATTTTTGCCCTAATATGGGATACTATCAATGGCTAAAAAGACCTATTAACTATCTTTGAAGAGAACAAAGATCAAAGTATGTTGCAAACATAATTTGTTGCATCTTAAATTTCTTCAACATAAAATGATTATATTTTTTTAGAATTTATGTCTATAAAAAGGGATAATATAATAGAAATATATATTTATTTCAATAATCATATATATGATTAAATAAAAGTAGGTAAAAATAGATTAATTTCATGATATTTTCTAAAAAAACTTCTTAAAAGCTTTATAAACATAATTTTGACTTTACATGTGATGTCATTGATTAATAGGCTAAAAACTTGGTCAAAAAGTTAGTTATATGTCACACATATTGATAGCTTGTGGAACAAGCTAACTATATGGTATACATATAAAAAACTTGTTATACAAGTTAAGACATATGTCTTGCAAAGTTATTCCTATAGAATATTTTCATATAGCTTCTAGTTAGATAGCATATATTGAGACAAGAGTAAATCCTTCTTCATTCTTGTTAATGTCTTTTTAATTCTTAGTCTTCTTTTAAGACTTTATAGTCTTCTTATTCTAGCAATAGTCATTCTACTTGAATATATTACTATCTTTGAGTGACTTTCTAATCTTTTTGAATAACATTAGAATATATTGAATTTTTTATTTTTAAATTCATGTCCTTGATAAATATTCGACTTGGACCACAAGATCAAGTTGATACAAATCATATTATATACAAATAATGCGATTAGTAGCTAATTTGGCCATTCTTATTACAATCCCAGAAATTTGTCTTCTAATCATCTACTTGCTATCTCTACTAATACCAACAAGTTGTATCTTCTTCTTCAGAGCAACAAAGGCCAAAAGCCTCAAATTGGTAACAAAAATGATATTAGTTGTTTTACAATCAAAGAACAAAATAGTGAAAATGTAGAGGTTGTATAGCCTTGCTTGATGGCCAAATTGAACTTAAAGCTTAAGATATAAGGTGTCATAGTTTGAGCCAACATCAAGAAGAAGAAAAAATATCTACTAAATGCATAACAACTTTGTGATCTTCTTTAGGCTCACAATACAAACCACTATGATGATTGAAGCTGCACAATCTTTACTATATCTATTGAAGCAGTTCATGTGTGATATGATTTTAGTGACATCTATAAGATGTACTACTATTCAAAACAAAGTTTTACATGAGACAAAACTAATTACTAGATGGAACAAATGAGATAATTTAATCTGGATCTTTTATACTTTTTGATTCAAGTCCTACTCTCTATTAAGTTCATTACTATTGACATTTATATCTTAGAAGAGCTTGAAGATATTAAATATTAATTTACATATTGATCCATATTTCTTATCATTAATATAAAATAACTTATTACTAATTATGATATCTATAATGTCTCAATTGATTCTAAATATGAATATGTTTTTGCCATTGAAATGAGTTGTAAGAATATTATAGAAATTTGTGCAATAAAAAAATTACTTCTTTTTAACATTAGAAAGTACATTATATTTTATCTATGCCTTGGCGTGTTGCAACTTCATGTATATTGTGATGTTGTTAATATAAAACAAAATTGTAAATAATTTCACATTTATATTTGCTTGCACTTATGCCTTGTGAGTTCAATTTCTTTGTAATTAAGCTTCTCACAATATAAGCAGTATGTTGAGATGATAACATTTGTGTTCTCATCTTGTAGGTTAGGCACAAGGCTGAACTTGGTCCTTACATTAGATTCCCAAGGCATTTGCAACTCGTTCACCATTATAAAATCATTGTGCATATTTTTAGGTGTGACTAGTGTGATTGCACATTCATTGTGAGGCACCTATCCAATTATGTGGAAGAAGACCATTGTGGCATTATATTAAGGCATCTTTCAAAGCTTATTCTAAAAAATATCATGGCATTTTATTAAAAAAATCTTTATTTAAAGTAACCTGCCAATTAATACTAGGCATCTATATTTGACTTTGAGTGGTAGAAATAAAAAAAACTATAAAAAAGAAATACAAATGCAGAATTGGTTTTTAATATACAAATTAAGTACCTATTTTCATTTAACAACACAATTTTAAAATTACGGGCAGCAAATAGAAATTGAGGAAGAGCGTGACGAAGAAGAAGAGGCTTTGATCCTTCATTCATCTTTTAGTTACATCCATCAAAATATCCATTCATCACATCCATCCATGCCATCCCCAGGGGCCACTTGGCGAGATGACGATGTGGCCGTTGGATCCACCTACGCGTCGGCGCGTCGGCATCTCTGCGATGCTGCAGAACCAACCAATATTGGCCCCTTGCGATCTCCGCCGTGCAGATCCGGAGCCGGAATTGGACGGAGGAGATCGTTCAGATCTGACAAGCGGGCTCAGAAAGGGCTCACAGGTGTGAACGGGGAGGAGGGGGCCTCGGAATGGAAGCATGAGGCTCACCGCCTTCAACAGCACTTGCGGCCCAGAGACAACCGCGGCGGACGGACACCCGCAGCCAGCCAGCGAGGAGGAGGAGGCACGGTTACAGGGTGGGTGCAGAACAACAAAACAACAACAATCGAGGGAAGAAGGCGCGGAGGTGGGTCCCAGCTCTGCCCTCGTTTGCCCTCACTTTGGGGGGCGATGCCTTTTTGTTTACTTTTCCATTTTACTTTTATCTTGCTTTTGCATGGGAATGCCCCCAAGGCTGGCATTTCGGTGAAGGCTCAGTCCACAGCTTGTTTTTAGGGTTTATTTATTTATTCAGTCATGTATTTTATTGCTCTACTCGTGTTCGGAAAGTGAAGTTATCTGGAGAGGAGAGTACATGGGTCTGAGGATTGAGGATTGGTATTTGCTTGTGGCTAGTGTGTCTGAGGTTGTTATCATCTTGACGGGAGAAGCGCGCTGGGTCTGAAGAATTTTGGTCTTCGTTTTTCATGGCGAATCTGTGATTTCTAGGATTACTGTGACAGAGCTGATGGTGTTGTTTTGCGAGTTGATAGCACTTTGATTGCCCTGCAGTCCGCCGTCTTCTTCAGGAAGTAGTTTGTATGGGAGTGTGAGAGAGGCCTTTTTATTTATTTATTTATTAATTTTTTTTGGGAAGCGTTTGGTTTCTGATCTTGTGTGTGTTCAGCAGCGAGGTGCGTGAGATAGCGTTCTACATGTGCTATATCTTTTAGTTAAGAATACCGATTTTTTAAGTTGGCAGCTATGGCTTTCTTTTAATTTCTCTTAGGATCGTGTAGATTAGATTGATATCTTAAGAGTCCTGGAGCGCTGGAAATTCTCCTTCTGTGTGACTAGGTTAGTGTCTTTGTCTGTCTATGGAAATTGAACGCGCGGAAAGATTACGGCTCTGCGTGTGGGCGTACACTCGGGAAGCATTCTTCACCAGGGTGCGATATTGCGGAAGCTAACGCTTGTAGCGGCGTATTGGTTGCCTGACTTAAGGACGCGGTGTTGCAACCATTTGTTGCAGATCGAAGTTGAGACACGATGGGTAGATGTGAGGTTCAAAACCATTTTTTTTTTTTTTTTTTTTTTTTTTTTTTCCCTTCATCTTCTTCTTTGAAGGTTGCAAATGTGGTCTTTAAGCACCCCCTAATTGCTGTATTTTGGTCTCATCCATCATTATTCAAACAACTCGTTTGCCCAACTCTTTTTCTCTCATAAGAAATGAGGTATGGTTAAATTGTACTATGCAAGAACAGAAGTTTCGACTTGGGTTCAAATAGGAGAATTGTATCGATATTTACGGTTGATATTCATGGTCTTACAACTATTCTGGATTTCCTTTGAGGTCAGAGTACAATGATACCAATCTTAACCTAATTATTATAAATGCAGCCATTTGGAGGTTGTATCTTCACCTTATCATGCTTGTCTTGGACACGGAAGCATCACTGATACCTGTGTCTCATAGTTGGTGGATGAAAACCACACTTCACAAACCTTGTGTGCGGAAACATAAGCTCCCTCTCTCTCTCTCTCTCTCTCTCTCTCTCTCTCTCTCTCGCTCGCTCGCTCTCGCAGTACACACACATACCGTTTTTACAGAAGCTCGCTACTGAGGTACAAATGTTGAATGTTGATGAATGAGTGCCTTAACATGGGTTCCTTAGATTGAGGTGTGTGTTGATGCTCTTCGTTGTCAATGTTTTTACTATGCAGTTTAGCCCATACCTTTTAATGAATGTCGACGTAGGGTCTGTGTTTGCAAGGATGTAATATTTAATAATCGTTCATGGTTTAGGTCGAAAGGGTCGTAGGACTGCACGAATGGACGACCTCACTGACGATGATACGATGAGCATCGCATCGACCGTCTCTTCTTCTGATTACAATAATGGACCAGAAGTTGAGGGGGAGTTTGATGAAAGCACTTTGATGGATCAGTACGTTGAAGCATTGTACCAGAAGAGGTAAGCTTTGTATTTGTCTTTGCCTTTCAGTTTTGTACCCTAGGTTACGATTGTTATGCAGCATATGTGAATGGTAGAAAATGACTCAGAATAAATACATGGCTAAGTAATGTACCTGAGAGCAGTTCCCACGAAAGGGTCTTGCTACTAATTAGGTTGTTTCAAAAGTGGATGATGCTATGATCCTTGTTTAGTCGCAGCACGCATTAGTTGATCGAGGAATTGTAGGGATTTGTTCTTTTGTCAATGATTTGCAAGCGTCGGGCTCAATAGCTCGAGGCCGCTATTGCACACTTTTCGTGTATCTAAAGTTTGTTAGACCTGGTCGTTACACACAGGGCATCAATGCGGGAGGCTGGACTGAAAGGCTTGATAGATGCTTTTACGAGCGCGGTATTAACCGACTTTGCCGAGGATCAGTAAGTTTTCTTTGATCTCATGAGTCTAATGTGTTTTATTTCAAGGTTTAATATACGAAAATAAACATGATATTGTTAGCTAGGTAGATTCTCCGCTTTTAAAGGTGATGGTTCTTCACCCGTTAGTTAACTAAGAATTAATCTGAGCTTTTTTTTAAGCGAGTTATGTTTGCCTCAATCTTTCCGTGTATTTCTTTTGAATCTAGGTGTGAGACGCTTGCAAATAGGTTTATCAACTCCATCAAGGTTGGATCTGGGAGTGAGATTGCTCAAGGAGCCCGAGCACTTGGTGAGTTGTTACTTTACAAAACTGTGCACCTGTTCTCGGAGCCGCCTCTGAATCATATTCTATCTTAATGTGTCTATTTGATGCGACTTTGAGGTGCATATCATTGGAATCTGGACATGAAGTGCACATATGTTCCCCATGTCACTTACCTGTGGCTCAAATCAGCAAAAGTTACCCAAGTTCACACGTGACTTTGTTGAGTCGTATATGTCTTTAAGTTAGGTACTAACTTTATTTCCTTGCTTACCATGTAATTGTAGGTCTCTTGGCCTTCACGGCTGGAGCGGGAAGCAGTGCTCAACAGATTCTAACAGATGCTACACCACATTTGTGGAAAGTGGCCAGAGTTGGGAACTCTCCTGCTGCTCGTTCCTCTGTAAGTGTACCAGTATTGTTAATACTGCCTACATGTTGGACTTGGTAGTTTCAGATGTGAAGTACATTTTATCAGTGTTATGGTGCTGTATAATTTTGTTTATCTGGGATATTTTTAATTTTAACATAATTTTATTTTAAGTATTTACATTCTTTGGTAATCTACTTTGGGTTGTGACTCTTTGTCTTCTTATAGATCGTATCAATCTCCTCTAAAATAATATCGTTTTTTTAAATTAAATTTATTTATTTATTTATTTTTGTACATACTAATTGCATAGGCTTAAGTAGTATAAGAATGTTTTTTCTGACGTTCATACGATTGAATAATTTTATAATTCGGTTCATTTAACTTGCTTGCATGTTGCAGTGCCTAGAGACCTTGGGGCTTCTCGCCTTTATTGGGGCATCGGATCTTGGGGCCACAGAGGCTACTATGGAAACTCTCTGGTCCATTGTCAATCACACACACAGTTCTGAAGATCAGGTACTTCAAAGCATTTTTGACTGGAAACATACACTATGAATATACTAGACCTTTGCACCGAGCGTTTTAGGAGTTTCTGTCTAATAAGCATGAGCTTCTGTGACGTACCAAGGAGTCCAATGTTCATTTTTGTGTTGCCACATGTGTTTTATTTGTGTTATAATGTTGCTTGAGCATTGTTATTAAAGTACATTGATTTTCCCAATTTGCAGAAGACTGGAATCAACTTCCCCCCGTCTTCAGCGAGGGTATCTGCTTTGATGGCATGGTCTCTATTGTTGTCTACGGTGGATCCTCGGAGAGTTTCATCCAGCCATCTTCAATCGTAAGTGCACTAAATCTTCTTGCAGCAAGTTGCTAGTAGGCGGCATCTTCATAACATAGCGGATGAAATAAAAAAGCAACATTTCTCATTTGAATCATACATGGTCGGTAATGATCTTATTCCTATTGCGAACGCACTTAACTCCATCTTTCTGAGGATTGACTGCAGCAGCAGTAGCATCATGCTGCTATTTGACTGGTATTGAACATGGATGCAGCGTCTTTGATCCTGCAGTACCTTGAGGTTTATGGAAGTTTAAGGACTTTGTTTTGGGGTTACAGGAGTGTCTCAGTTTTGTCCGGCTTATTGAAGAACGAGGATTTGGCTGTGAGGACTGCCGCTGGAGAATCAATCGCCTTGCTCTACGAGATGACAAATTCATTGGGTTCCGCAGAAGATGTTGAGGATACAGTCGATGACTTAGTCCCTCCAGTTTCTACATCCATCAACCCTAGAGTAATCAAACTTGTTGTGCTACCTGTCATACCATAGCATACTTATTTGTATTGAATATCTTATCACATATCGCTATTATTATTACTCGCTTTGAACACCTTATTCATAGATCCAGTTTCTCTTAATGTCTATCTGCTTCTTTGTTGCAAAACCTTGTTTTTAAATGTTGCATTTGTTGGAAATTCTACAGAATTTTAGTCTAGACGTGCAACACCTTTTTTTTCCTTTGGCATTTCAGGTAGCAACAGGTGCAAGGGCTACAATTTCAGAAGATGAAGTTGTCGAGCAGATGAAAACTTTGTCTGTGCACGCTGGTGGTAAAGGGCAACCGAAGAAGGAAAGGGCTGTGCAACGGAGTTCATTCCGTGAACTTTTAGCTGCTATTGAGGTGAGTTCAAGCTTCAGTAGTTTATTGTGATTCAGAACTATACTAGCCCTTCAGGCCTGGGTTTAAAAGTATAACCATTGAATGCGAAGTATGTTTGTTGTAATATGTTCACGTTAGATATTTTTTGTGTTGTGTTTTCGGTGTAGGATGGTGTTGCTCCTCAAGTCTCTGTTAAGCTGCCAGCAGGGAATGCCTTAAAGTTCAACTCCTGGACTGAGATTATACAGGTTTTTTGAAATCTTCGTTTATTCTGAAAATATTCTTGCGGATGCTTTGGAGCTGACGTTGATATGAGTACTTGCAACATCGTATTTTCGCATTTTGGGGTGCGTCCCTTGAACACGTCTAGTAGCGTGGTTGTAACAGATGTTTTTTGCTTTGCATTTGCAGTTAAATGTTATACGGCGTTTCTTGGGTGAGGGATTTCAGACGCACATGCAAGTGAGTATTCTTTATTTCGTCCTTCAGCCTTTTCAGTAATTGGATTATTTAGCGTTGAAGCAAAAAGATAATCTTTGCAGCAGAAAGTTATGAGATTGCTCAGATTCATAAATTCATTTGTTTTTACCATGAAATTCTTTCTGTTCACATGAGAATTTGATGCTACTCATTCTGAATATTTTACATCTCAACAAAGTTTGGTCTTTTTCTCATCGTGTGTGTTATTGAATCAGGGAAATCCTCTGCTGCATGAAATCTTTGACTTTGTACCTCAGGCTGAAAAGCGCAAGACTCTTTCCACAAAAGAGAAGGTTCTCAAACTGCACTAGTTTAGATGCTTCTGAATTTGTCATGTTTCGTTTACAAGCTCATCGTCCATATTAATGAGTTCTCACTCGTCTTTATCTGCCAACCTGTCATAGGACTAACATTTCACTTTCTTTCTATTTGCAGAGAATGTTGCAGTCACCTAATTCTATTGTCAGTAAGGCTCGCACTGAAGTGATGAATCGCCGACGTCAAAATTCTCGGGTATCTTATTTCTTCGATCTGCAGAATTAACAACGGTTTAGCATGTTGCAGGAACCGTGTCTTATTTTCATATACACGTCAGCCAATCTGAATTTATTTCTCACATCTTGAACTGTTTCTCTACAGGTACAGAAAATGGGGGGGTTTAGCGCCAATGGCCATGATAGCGACTAGAAATTGTTTAAAATTTGTCATTGTTTACGGTGAGACCCTGCAACTGGACTTGTTGCATTGGGTTTGGGCTTCTATCATCAGTCAATTCCTTCTCATCTGAGAATTATCATGCGAATTGCTATTTTAGAACCTAAAATTATATTATTTAGTTATTGTCGCAAGCTTTTGTTCTTAATATGTTGACTTGTTCATTCTGGAAAAGATTCTTTGTAAACAATCCGGTAATTGTAAATGCATTTGAGTGTAGTACGACTGTCTCCATGTAAACTTGTATTATTTTGGATGTTGAAGCAGTCTTGGCACTAGGAAATTTCTCGTATCTTCCCAAAATGTAAGTAAATATTTCATGACCAACTTCTGTATTTTGGAAATACATCATTGCTGTTCCAATTTCCACCCGTCACTATTGAAGGATATAACATTCTACAGCAGTTGTAAGTTCTAATTCATTTTGATAGGTTAACCAAATTTACTAATTTGAAATCATTGCTGCAGAGATTATTGTCTTTTGACCAGCCTGACGAAATATGATATTATGCTTTACAACGTATGGAACTAAATTAAACTTTGGATGTTATATTTATATTTGAGAAAATTGTGAAATACAATTTTAATTTTGAAAGTCTACACACTATACAATTAAAAAACAAAAAGGGAAGGCACATGTTTGAATTTTTTTAGATTGCAATCAATGAAACTTCCTTCCTAAAGAGTTGATTCATCCATTTTATTGATCCTATTTCGTTTATCATTGTGTAATTAAGTAGTACTTAAAATATCTAATGAATTGATACAATCTAATAAAGTAATAAAATTGAATAATAAAGAATGCCTCGTTGAGATTTTGCCTATTCATATAAGGTGGTAATAATATATCTTTTAGGTTTAGGCTACAAGCACATCCTAAATTATTATATACACTTGTTATGTCTATATACACCTAAAGTTTTTGATTGACTTAGATAAATCTCTTTTCTTAGTATGGATCTTTATTCCCTTTTCTTCCTTGTCAAGATGCGAGTCTTGCCTCATTGGCATAGATCTTGTTTCTCTTTTCTCCCTTGCCCCAATGTGGATCTCAAGACCAATTAGAGTTTAGCATGATGAAGAATAGTTGAGAAAAAATAGGCAACATATGTCCATGATATGAATTTGAATTAGACATTACTTTGAACTATATACTTCTTCTATATTGTTTCTATTTCCATTGCAATGAAGACCATCTCTCTTCTTAATGATTTGTAATAAGCTAGTATAGTATGAATGACAAAATTGAAATGATTTTGCTAACAACAAATGATGAAAACCAAAGAACATACATCAATGAGGTTACATGAGATTCAATACAAATCTGTAGCAACTCAATCCACAACCTTAACATGAATCACAAACAATAAATTTCTCAAACATCTACTTCTTTCAGCTTAATATATTATATTCAAGAGTCATTGGACTTTAATCTCCTAGTCGATGTGCTTTCCAATGTTATAAACAGTCAAAATCACTTACTTGCTTTATTAATGGTTGTGTAAGAATAAATACAAGATGTATTGTTATGGTGCCTTAAAGGATCAAATAGTGTCATATTACATGAATTCTTGTTCAAGAATAAACAAGGTATCTAACTGAAGAAGGTAAAGTTATATTTTGTAAATATCAAGGAGGCCTAATAGATTTCAACTATCTAAATACAGAGTAATTTGAATTTCAATTCAAAAGTGCTTAAAGCCAATATAAAGTGCTCAAAAACATTCTTCTAAGTAACCTCAACCATATACAAATTCCAATTGCCTCATTACTTTCATAATAAAGTAATTTTGATTTCTCTTTGCAAGCCTTAATCTTAGTCAATGAGTTTCAGCAAGCTGTAATTTCTAATGTGACCATCTACTTGGTGGCACAAATACCACTATAAGTCTTCTACATGTTCAAAAAAAATCAGCCCAATTTAAGTCATAGATTGTCAGAAAAAGCCCAAAATCTGCACTAATATTATTTGGCTGCCAACTTGAAAGTTGATATAAATGTTCTAGTAGTAATTTCTCCTCCTCGAACTATTATCTTCAATTCAAAATTGGTGTGTGGTTTGATCTTGAAGTCTTCTACAATTATGCCAAATTTCACCTTAATTAGACTAGTTGATCTTTAAATATTATAGAAACCCTATCTAATCTCAAATTGCCAATTTCTAATACCTTCTTGTACTATAAACCAAATATCTTTCAATTGCACTATTAGATTAATACAAAATTTTATACTCAGTTAGCACACTCAATCAACTAAGTGTTGTCAAATTTTGAACTATAGATGTGGCACCAATTGTATGAACTAAATGAGAATACTAGCCCTAATTATATTACTTAAATTCCAAACCACAAATATAAATCTTGATTTTGAATAACAATTGCAAAGTCATTCCAAATCTTCTAAAAACAAGCCTTATATCTTTGTAATCAATCTAAATCTAGCTCACTAATCTTAATTGCCAATCTTCAAATGTTCCCTTTTTTGCCCTAGGCAATTTTTTTAGTGCCTAGAGGTCTAATTTCGACCTTGTCCAATAAATAATCGACCCTTAGGTATCAATCTAATCTATCCTAGAGGATTTTTAGTCCAATCCTATGCTCAACTTAATCTTAGTATCAACCATACTAATTATTTACCTTTTTTAATATGTTTTTATCAATTTATGGCTTTTCTAAGGTAGTAAATCAATATTAGACTAATGCTGATTTTGGTCAAGACCTTAATACTAAGTGATCTATCTTTGGCTTAATACACAAAGTTCGAGAAGCGTCAATCAAGTAGTCCAATAAAAAACAAATTTCAATGGCTCTGAGTACCACTGAGGCAAAATACGATTAGCCATATTGAATCAATGCAATAGTTTGTTGATTTATATTTTTTAATGCAGCTAAATATTAGCTGGATCTTGATGTATTTTTATTCCAAGATAAACAAGTGCTTGTTCAGTCATCTTGAAGGTACTCAATAATTGTGACATTAATTGGTAGATTTGTGTTAGGTTGTTTTTAGTGATAATGTCATCTATGTATAGAAGTGTAATAGTGTATGTTGAATTATTAATTGATTAATATAGGCTATAATTAACTCAACTTTTAGATAGTCTTTTATTATATAGATAGTTATCAATTCTTGAATATCATACTTAAGGTGCCTATTTAAGTCCCTATAAAGGTCAAATTAGTTTATACACTTTCTCATTTTTTGTTGGATTTTGAAAGCTTGAGGATAATACTTTGTAAGGGCATAAATGAGCCAAATCAAAATAAATAAAATAATGAATTAATATAGGCATCTTTAAGAGAGAGTTAAGAATAAGTTTAAGTAAAAATTATCTCAATTATTAAGAATTGATACCTGAAGAGGATGAGTTTTGAATTAGAATCGAAATCAAACCTTAAGACACAAAACTATGCACCTATGAAAATTTCAAGGTTCTTTGGTTGATTGGAGGGTGGATTTTGAAAGCAAACAAGAGAGAGGTTTTTTGAGCATTGATTTTAAGTGATTTGAGTATGTAATAACTTTGTAAAGACTTTGCAATATTAGGATTTTTTTCAAGTGACTTTGCATTTTGAGAAATTCCAAAATTTTATACTTTGGACAATTGTGTAAAATTTATAATTGATCTACAAATGATTTTTTTTGATCAAGTAATAATTATTGTGTATAATCTAGGTTGTAAGTTTGAACTTGATCTAATGGTTTGTTCAAAGTTTATTGAAGCTCAAATATATTGAGGACTTAGAAATTGGGATTTAGAGGATAAGTAAGAATTTCTAAGATATTTGTCAATTTGTTAATATGACTTTTAACAATCATGCAAATTTTGAGACCTATTGAAAGATGAAATTAAGAGATTTTGGATCTTAAATATCAACATTAAGATTGGAGAAGAAGACTGGCCAACACTTAAGTGAATTTTAGGAATTATTTTTTGTTTAATATGTTTGATCTTCTTCAACTTTTTTTGTACTTATTACCAACTTAATTATTGAAAAATTTACAAATATTTAGTTAAAATCAATGGTTAAATAATTAGTTATTGATATTTCAATCTATTGTAGGATTTATTAAGAATTTATTTAAAATTTAAAAATTGATTAGAAATTGATTAGAAATTGATTAGAATTAATTTAAGATTTAGTATTTGATTAGTATTGATTGAAAATTTTATTAGGGTTTATTTAGGATTTACGATTTGATAAATAATTAGATAAGATTTTATTACAATTTAATCTTGGATTTGATTAAGATTCATTATGGTTTCATTAAAATTGATTTTAAGTTTAGAATTTTATTAAAAATTACTTAGGATTTATTTAGGATTTATTTAGTAATTATTTTAAAGATTATTTATAATTTCTTTAAATTTTTATTTCTAGTAATTCAAAAATAAACTAAAATAAAATATTATTTTTATAATAAATATTATTTTTATAATATTATTTAGTTTTTATTTTTTATTTTTTTAGGATTTTTTATTATTTTTATTTGAAGTTAATTATGACTTCTTTATGTTTCTTTTATAATTTTTTATAATTTTTTTTAAATTGATTAAATTTTGATTAAGCTTAAAGATTATTTAAGATTTATTTAATACTCTATTATAATTAGTAGGATTTTTTTTTATTTTTACTTACCTTCTACAATTAGGTGCCCAATACATTCTCAAGCAAGAATACTCATAATATGACACCATCTTTAAAATATTTTTTAATATCTTAAATTTCTTTAATATTTCTAAAAAAATATTAAAAAATATATAATATTTCTTTAAAAATACTAAAGAGAAATCCATGATATCTTAAAGAAGTTATTGGTGAATAAGATGGAATATCTAGATCCATTGAATAATAATGTTGGGAATAGAATAATTTGATCTATGTGTAAGAATTATAAAATCATTTTATTTGGATGATAGATTATCCAAAAAATCTTTCACAATGTTGCCTTTTTGCCATACATTGTTCACAAATATCTTTTATTGGATTGAGAGAGGACATACTTCATACTTTATCATTTCTTGTCTCTGTATATATACTATCTAAATAGGACTTCCAACACGTGTTCAATTTTCAAGACATGTGTCTTCATTTGCAAGACAAGTTTTATAGTTTGTTATTCAAGATAGGAAGATTATCCTATTATTTGATTATTGATGAGGCCTTACTAACTCTTTTAAATTAAAATATTTAAAATATTCACAAGAATTATTCCTAAAT